CAAGCAGAGGAGTAGAAGTTATTATAAAACAGATTATATGCGCATACAATGAAGTACAAAAACTCAGCGATACCATATTTGACCTGCATCCTATGTGATGGAGATAGTGTTAAGCGTGGAACGTACGAAGGACTTACTATTCTGTTAGCAAAATAAATGGCTTTTATTCTCCATTATGGATAAGATTTTATTTTAATAAATCACACAGTGGTGTTGTACAGTAATATTTACTGATGACCACGTTTCCAGCACAAACTATTGCCACTCACAATCATATCAAGTCACTCACACTCACACAACTTTCTTGCTTCATTTATATACATATGTGGAATTGATGATTAGACACTTGAATAAAAATCAGTATAAGATAATGTACATTCAGAAATAATAATAATATGAGTGTTATTGACCAAATACAATCAGATGGGAAATAAGACGAGTGTTTTTGTATTCAAAATAAGTAACTTGTTAGAATGTTTTGATGTACTTGAACTGAAATAGAATTTTGAGATTATTTATTATCCTCCTCTGATTTAACTGACTGGTGGTAATAATATCTTCCATGCATATCTCTGGTATTTGCATTGAGTCATTTCTGTTGCATGTGTTGTGTTGGGTGTAGACTGGATGAACCAGGCAGGATTCAGTAATCAACCCTTGTCTCTCTCCACCTACCTAGATTACTTCTTAGAATTTTAACCTTCTCCCACCTGAATCCTGGTTCATTGAGTCTGCACCCAACCTTAGCTAAATTCTTGTGTTGCGACAATCTGACTACCCAGTGACCATCTAGCACAGTGTCCGAGTTTTATGTTTATAGTTCCAAGGCTTCCTGACCATTGCTTTCAACCATCTAATATCATCAAATCAATGTGCACCGTGATGGCGGGCTATCTTGTGGTATCGTGGCCACATTGCGAACCTGACCGATAGAGTTCAGTCTGCAACAAACAAAGGACAAGACACTTCAAACTAGTTACTAGTGTCCAATCAAAGGTAGCCTTTTGATAGACAGGGAATGATTTACAGATGGAATTGGGATTTGGTTCACGCCTTACAGACTACCAGTCCCGAAATCCACTAGCTGAATTATGAGACACAGTTGCAAACTGGGTCATCATTTCACTCTAGCTATGGTGACTGGTGCTCAGTCTTTCTGTGAAACAAGAACACTATGATAGAAATAATTGTAACGGCTATTTTCTATATAGTATTTTTGATAAAATATCGGGTTTGCAGTCCCGTAATACAATAGTGCATCTAATTTTCTCTCGAAATTTCACAGAAAAGGGTGGGATAATTAAGAGGGCATCAAATTGGTACTATTATTCAATCAGAATATGAATATATATGATTAAAATTTAAGTGGAAATATTAACAATAGTATATTAATAAAAATAATAATTTTCAAGCGTTGGTTTGTGACGATTAGATTTGTTATTTTATGAGTTTGACCACGAATTGATATCAGTTAGAGAACCATTGAAAACCATCACTGGAGTACTGGACAGGTGTTTCATGTTAGTTTGGAAATCATCGACAGTACGCCCACCCACTCTACAAGGTGTTTGAACTCAGGACCTTCCGGTTACAAAGGAAGCTTGTATACCATTCAGACACTGGAACCCGACTCAACGACCACCAACCAATATCATAGGTAGGAATCGGGTCCCAGTTTCTGGATGGTATATGAGGTCGCTTGCCTTGTAACCGGAAGATCCTGAGTTTGAACCACATACTGCCGATGATTAGAAAACTATGACTAAACAGCTGTCCACTACTTCCTGCGGCTGGTTTTCAATGGTTCTCTACCTGATATCAATCCGTGGTCAAACTCGTAACAAAGAAAATAGTAATGAAAACTACCGTTTACGTAGTGTTTCACAGGACGTTAGTTGTTTCACGCCTTACACTTTTCTCATCACATTCAATATATAAAGTCATTATAAAGTCTCTTATGACTGATTTCAGTCCTTCCTTTGAGAAGATGCTGGGGAAGAGTTGTGTTGTTATAGAGGAAGAGAGTACTCAGAGTCTGAAAAAATAATATTGGCTAATTCCCTGCATGAGTTCAAGTGTCTCTCTAAGAAAATATTAACAATTTGGTTTAGTGATAACCCAATCACCTTACCGCCAGCTTTTAATGCCCTTTACAATGTAATAAAGTCTTTCTTAAGTCACCCTTGAAAGATTAGTTGGAGGGGGAAGGCAATAAGGAGAAATAAGTAGAATACAAGAGTTAAGAAACTGTAAAAGTTGAGACTGAAGGATGTCAGACTGCCTTGAATTCCTAACGAGAATGATTAGACGGAACATCTTTCTATAAATAAAAATTATTTTGGGGCGAGCACCAGGAAAGATGAGAGCGAAGATATAATCCAAGGCATTTAACCTCTGACCTAGTTTCGACTACAATGCCTTCTATGTATGATACAAGAATCATTAGAATGAACCAACCCATGTAGATCACATATGTATCTGAAAGTGTAATTAAAAGTCTGATTCTTAGAGGAGTTTGACTAAAAACCATTTGAAAAGGATTGCTGACTAATTTCTCACAGATAAGATATTCATTTTAGAACATTCTGACTGAGATGTGATCAGTACGGGATTAGTCTGATCATCAGCACACTTAAGGCAAATCACGTTAGAAAAAGGAAAACTTAGAACAGAGAAAAGACAGCACGGTGACTGCAGTGCGGTGATAGCCTTAATCAAACTCACAATTTGTAGATCAGTTCTCAATTTACCCAATTTTAGGTGATTAGGTCAATACAGTTATTGAGAACTGATTGGCGAATTTCGAATATGATTAGGGATATCACCAGCTCACCCAAGTAGCCAGCCAGAAATCGAGTATAGTGAACTGATTCCGCCTTCTCAACCGAATGAAACGGCGTACACCAACGACGATGATAAGCTTGGCCAGAACCGAAAGAAACGGCCGCCCGGTATTTACATCACTTCAGTCTGGTTGGGAAACAGTACTGGTAATTGTGAGTAGTACACAACTACTCAAATCAGTTAATTAGTAGTATATACTTCGAAATGGTGGCGTGTTAAGCAGGTGGGTCTCGTAGATCATGAAAGTAGAGCGTCAGACTAGTAATCGCAAAGTTGCTGGTTCGAATCACTGCCATGATTCTGATTGTTTTTTTATTCCTTCATGTTCCCAGTGGAACATAGGGCACCTTCAATCTAGAGGCTTGAAGTTTCTGTAACAGCGGTGTTTATTTTTACAGGATGGGGTTGCTAGCCTCACTTTGTCCCAGCCTTTCCTCTTTACCAGCTTTATCACTGGCTTAGCAAGGTAAAGGAGTGCGTTGGAGGCCAGGGATTGAACCACGGACCATGTGCATAGTTGGCGGGCGTCCTTATCACTGTGCCACCGACACACAGAGGTTGTTTAATAATAATAATTTGCTATATTCCAAAACAGTACTTGTGATACAGAATGGAATTCTCAGCACTTTTACTACAGTATTGCATCCAGTTAGTACATTATCAATAAATAGAATTCTACATAGATTAAGGAAATCTCAGTTCATTATGACAACAACATATTAGCATATCGGTAACAAAGCCAAAAGTGAACAGAATGTTTCAAGGTGTCAGAAAAGTAGATACTAGCATATTAACAAAAAGGTCGAGATATACAGAGTATGAAAGAACGAAGAAGAATGTTTTAAGTAGAGTTTGTAAAGAAGAGAGAAACAAAACAGCACATAACAGAAAACAGAGAAAAGGAAAAGAAAAAAAAGAAAATGTTGTACCTATACATGATATGAGTTGGAAGGACTAGATCCAATTGTTCTACTGACTATGTAATAAGTTACAAGTCTCACGCCTAATGCTTTCTTTGTCGAACAGAACACGAGCTAAGTAGGGTATGGTTGAGTTTTTGTACTTGCTGGTGCGAGCATATAGTTTTCTATATAGGCTTCTGGTTTTACCTGATGAGATGCTAGGGGAGACTTGTGAGTGAAGAGGGTGGTGTGAGTTAGATAGAGTCGATTTGGCCCATTTTTCACATGAGTCCATGTGCCTGTCGACCAGAATATTAACAAGCTGGTTAAGTGGCACGTTGCTTACCCTTCTGACAACCTTTAACATTCTGCGTAATATGTTATAGTGTTTCTTCAGTAGCCCGGGAAAAACTAAGAGGGAACAGTAGAGAACAATAGGCAGAATGCGAGAATTATCGAATTGTAGGAGTATGGGTTGGGTTATACCAGATTGTTTTAACTTCTTGATGTAGAAGGTAAGAGGGAATATTTTCTTAGAAATTGCTAAGATATGAGACGACCAGAAGAGATCAGCAGATAGAATGACGCCTTTAAATCTTTGCCCATTAGACAAAAGTACGGATTGAAAGGTGTGTACCGTGTTTAACATTACTGATAAAGACACTTTGGAGTAGTCACCTGAAGAAGAGAAGTGATACTGTCAAACTGTGGAGGCCTTATTCAGTGCTTTACCTGAGTAAAACACTTGGCTTTCAGTTTGAAGGGTCAACAAAAATGGTCTCATTATCACGAAATGAGGTTACAATCCTTACACCTATCTTTCCCTTCTTTTCCAAGCTTACTACTCGAGGTCTAAGAGTTCATCGGCTGGGAAACAAACCCACTTCAGGCGCGAGTTCCGTGAGCATTCAAGTAGTGACTCAACAATGCACTCCACTCCTTGATTTTAGCAGTCATATTCCTTCAGGTCGACAGTAATAACCAAAGACGGAAAAAAGCCTTCCGTACTAGGATGGTGGACCGAGTATTTCTTGATGGAATAGCACCCTCAGAAGTAAATTCACTCATACAAACACACAAGGAACATCAACTACAAACATTATTAGTAATGTTAGTAGAAAATTATCACTATTAAGGTTAATAACACTTAGTTAATTCTCCAATAAAATAAATATTTGACAACATATTGACATGACAGTGACACAATGACAACATCAAAATCAACAATAAGAACAACTCAACTGACTAACTTACTGACTTATTGTCTTTCTCCACCAATTCTCTTTATTCTGTAACGATCCTATTCTCCTTGCAGTTATTCTTGTCCCACTATCAATATATCTACCTCCTCCGGCAGCGCTAATCGGATTAATTAAAGTGAAATTTGTCGACGTTGGCATACATGATTTCATTTGATGTGTACGCCAATTTCTACGTCTTTCATACAGACCACTATCAATCGATTTAGCGGTGCTGGTGTTGGTGTTGGTCGATGTCGTGTGGGGAGTAGTTTTATGTCCAGCTGAAGTAGTCGGAGTACTCGATGTACCACAACTGGTGATCTGGGATACATTAGTCTTTAATGTTTCATTGTCCATTTTGTGATTTTATCAATAAATTTCATTTGAAGATTATCTATCTATGTATCTAATCCAATTTGGGGATCTTTTCAAAGATTCCGATTAAATATTCTCAACAATAAAGCAAAGATAAACGTTACATGAACGAGAATAGTCCGTGTCCAGTGTTTCTGTTCATATTTGTGTCATTTTGCAAGCATTAAAGGACGTGCTTTCCATATGAGGAACACTGAGGCGACAGAAGAAGACGAAAATATTGATTATAAAATCTACTCTGATCTCGGATCAATTTTGATTAATCCCAATAGCATATATATATGTTATATATATTTGAATTTATGTTAAATAAGCCTTTCTTTCCACACATGGTATATATATTTTGTTAGTTAATATGTTCCAAAAATGTAAATAATTCTTCAACATTATTTAATTATAATCTGTGTGATATATTAATAGACTAAATTAATTTATTAATTGTAGAATTAATTACTTCTGAGATTAGTGCTCACACGATTGTAATTTGATTGGTTAAAATTATACAGGCAATAAGCAAACTAATGGGATTGCGATATGTTGTTATTTTTTCTAACTGGCATTTGATTGGTTGTTTACATTTTTTGGTTATATTGTATGTGTGTATGTCGATATATATATGTGTGTGTGCAGATGTTTATGTATTTTCAGTTGTTGGTTTGCAAGGATCTGATTTGTTCCAAGATTTAGTCACTCACGAGCTAATATCACCTAGACAATCATTGGAAACCAGCAGGGAGAGAATTGGGATTAACTCTCCAGCAGTACACATTCGCCAACCGGCGTTCGCAATCCCGAACCTTTTGGTTACAGGGCAATCGTATTGAACGAAATGACCGCTCCATGAATTTTGACTAATTCATGATTTTACCACAGTCACCAGGTGACATCATCTGTGGAGAGAGTATCTGTCTCCACAACTAACTTGGTGGACCTGTTCCTCATTGAATGACGCCTATTTGATGGATGTCTTGAGGCTGTGTACAGAGACTGCCTGACCGGTAGTGGGATCCACCATGTCAATAGTGAAACGATTGGCTATGGAAGATACATTGGTTGAGTGTAGCGGTATGTATGAAGACTTCGTTACAGGATTCCATCATGAACTGACATCGGTTAGAGAACCGTTGGAATACTGCCAGACAGCTGTTTCCTCCGTCCTAGTTTGGGACTCTTCATCAGTATGTACCCACACCGCAGAGTTCCAACACAGGAGCTTCTGCTTACAAGACTAGCGAGCTCGTAGACCATCACGCCACTGGTACCTGATCCAGTGGCTAGCCCATGAATTCTAACTTCTACCAATTCATGACATAGCGCCACCATTTCTCACTGTCATCTTCGATGAGTAACTGTCCTCTCCTTCAACCTGTTACACCCTACGGGAATTCATGGGGCACTGAATTCCAATCCAATTGGTTGCTGGAAGTTCAAACAAGCTTGGTCTTGAAACGTGCAAGTCCCAAGTTTGGCCACTGGTAGTCATTGGAGTGCACTCTACTGAAGAGTCCCGAGTTGGAGCGAAACAACAAGCTGTACACTGCTCCCTCCATCTAAAAAGATCCTCCAGTGTTAAAAAAGTTTAAGCAATGACACTAGCAGCAAGGTAATGACTAACAAATGTTAACAGTGTTATTATCCACAAGCTGGATATACGTTTTGAACTAAAAAAAAAGACGATTTGTAGCTCCGGTGGATTACTTTGATGTGAGTCTATTCTCTGAGTTGGATGATGGTTTGATTGTTTGGGAGGCTTTCATTGTCCTGCTGGACAACACTTTCTTCAGTAGAAGCTTCGATGTGAAGTGGACTTACTTGAATACCTCATGACTTTGAAATGCAACAGAATGTGAGGTGGGCGATAAGACAGGGAATGTGTTAGGCTGACCACAGGACTAGTCTGGAAGATCTGGACTTCAGAAATGATTGATGTTAGATGTCACATATATACTCAAAGATCTACAGGCAAAAACCAACAAGTAGGTTGAAGAAATAGGCAGCGTAGACAGAACTTCAAGTGGCCATAGAGAAATGACGGAAATGACGTAGGTCTCTAACCAACAACAATAGTTATCGACGGGAAAAAATCCAAAGAAAGTGAACTCTCTTTCAGTTATCTAGGCGGCATGACTGAGGATATCAAAGTGAGACGTGATTGGAAAGACAAAACATTCTCTCATTTGTCTGAAACCAGTATGGAATTCTACTGTAATCAACATAAGGAACTGGGCTCGGATTTTTAATAATAATGTCAAGTCGATCCTTCTATGTCCGGTCAACAGCCTAATGCAAACTTTCACCAACAGTTGCCCACTTCGTTCCATACTTAAGATCAGATGGCTACAGAGGATTGGTTGTTGATTTACATTAATTGTGATCGACTTTAGTCACTTGCGATATGTTGATATTGTCTTGTGGCCTACTCTATATTAGTTGATATTCTGATGTGGTTGTGTTCTCTGAGATGGATGGTTAATTTGCGAAGTTTTCATCGCACTACAAGGCGACATCTTCAGCGCTTACTTCAATTTGAGTTGAAGTGAGCTTTTAGATTTCTCCACTAGTTCACTATTAGTCATCTCTCCTGGTGATCTTGGACGTGATTGCTTGTTTTTGTGTGTTTTCACACACTCCAGGCTAATTGTATTGGAACTGATTGTTTCTTTGACTTGAACTTTGATCCTTTGTGTGTGAGGTTTCTTATCTTATTGGTTGGTAAATTTTGTCAATCTCGATGTGTCTATTGATTGATGATTCACTGGAATGCCAAGCTTCTAAAAATTCTCTAGCATTCTTGGTGTTTCCTCTGTCTAATATTTGAACGTTGTCCCAATGGAATTGGTGTCCGTGGTTGTCTGTATCCAGCGAATGATATGAGGGAGAGAGTGGATGTCATGTCTTTTGACGGCTACCTTATGTTCGTGGATACGAAGACGGAGAGGATGTTGTCCGTTTTGGCCGATGTAGTGCTTTCCGCAGTTGCGATAGCCCCTTCTGTTTGGAGCGCGGGGTATCTCGATGTTTTAGGCAGTTTATTTGGTAGCCGGTAGATGATGATAGAGAAGGATTCTTCCACGCTGGCTTTGTGGCCGGTTTGGACCAGATGGTCTAATGTCGAACTGTTGATGGTTTTAACTACAACTTTACTTAGTCATACTGGGAGATGTTCTCAAGTGAGCACGAAAACTCAAGTTCCTAGAGCAACGGCCAATATAACTCGCTCTACCACAAGCGCATTTTAATTGGTAGATACAGTTAAAAGTGGTTAGTCTAGGTACTTAATCTTTCAATCGAGGAGTCATCACCATCGGTCGTGTAGAAAATAAAACGTGTAGTTCGTCAGAGCATTAAAAGTTCTTTGAACTCATTTTCTTAATTTCCTCGTAATTATTTCACTTGGTGTGTCGCCCTTGAATTGCAGTCGTGTGTATAAAGGCTTCTTGTTTACAGATAGTGAGCAGTCCTTTTCCGCTTTCTTTGTCATGTGTTTCTTGATAAATTTGTCGGGATAGCCATTTTCTATCAAAGTATCACATAAAATCTTTAATTCATCTTCACTTACCTCTTCTGAGCATATAGCTTTAACCCTGTGGCTGAGGACCATTGAATTCTAGCTCCCAACCACTTCGTTCTCTAAATGTGATATCAATCCGTGAGGCTAAAACTTCTAACGAAATCAATTCCTTTCGCATAAACTTATTATTATTATTGTTCCCTTGGGTTCCTAGTGGAACATAGGGCTTCAACTACACGTCTCCACTTGCTTCTGTCTTCTGCTGTACTTTTCACATGTATCCATGTTAGTCCATGCTGTTTCAACCCCTCTTCACACGATCTCCTCCATGTCACCCTTCAACGTCCCACTCGCCACTTCCATTTCGGGTTCCACTAGAGCGTTGGCCTGACGCTCGATGTCACCCAGTGGCCCCCTCAGCAAGTGTTCAATCCATCTCCACTTTCTCCTGCATATTTGTTGAGCGATTGGTTCTTGTTTTGTTTGTTCCCATAGTTTTTTGTTGGTTCTTGTTCTTTCCGGCCATCTGATCTTCAGTATAGAGCGAAGACAGTTGTTGATAAAGGTCTGCAACAGGCTGTTGGAAATATTCTTCGTGACCTGCCAAGTTCCTGATCCGTATAGAAGAACTGACTGACTTGACGTTTGTATTGAAAATCTGAATTTTGTTGTTGATGGAGGCTGAGTGACGAAGATTTCGCATAAACTAATGAAACATAATAATATTTTCCTGTTCCTTTTCATAAGAATCACAAGGATAAAAAAGCGAAATATCGATCATGTGATTTCATGGAAGACAAAAAACAAATAATAATAAGCAGACTGCGTCAGAGATCAGCTAATTAAAAGCCAAACTGAAAACAATACAAAAACAGAAGAACAAGCCAAACATGGGAAAAGATATGGAATTTGTTGACAAGGGAGTTTCAGTCAGTCAGCCAGCCAGCCAGCTAGTCGAAAAGTGGCCAGAAATAACTGTGTTTTTTCCCGATATAAATATCATTCAACACTACTCGTTTTACAAACTAGTTAATGATCATAGTGTAGAGGTGAGACGGTGTTTTGAAGGTTGAAAAGAAAGAAACACAAAAAGAGGGATTTATTTTGAAGATAATATTACAAGATAAGATAAGATAAGCGCGGTTTCTTGCGTTATCACGAACTGTCGGAAGTTGTTTATGATAAACAAACAAACAAAAACATATGTATATTTAGACACGATAGAATTATTACCGATTAGCTAAATATCAGTGGGTTATTTGTGATATATCTGAAGGTTGTGAATGTGCACTTTTATAAGATTTTTGAATGTTCAAGTATTGGTTTTGTAGGGATTTTGTATGTTTGATTGGTTGGTTGAAGGATCGCATCATGAGCTGAAATCAGCTGGAGAACCACTGGAAAACCAGTCAGGGAGTACTGCTATACAGCTGTTTCGTTAGCATAGTTTGGGACTCCGCTTCAGCAGTAC